TAATACGGTTTTGTGATGTTTAATTAACGTCCCTAATTAATTTAGAGTATTTTTCTAATTGGGCCACTTTTGAGAGTATGGGGCCTAATTTTCCCATAATTTTTCATACGTCTCAATCCATGTTATTATTTATTGCAACCAAATTTTGTAGATTTTCTCCTTTGCTTGTAATGAATAGTTTGTTAGAAAAAAAATTATCAAAGGTTCTTAACCTTTGTAGAAAGTATAAATAAAATCCATAATCTTCAATTTATAGAATCAACTTTCGCAACTTTTCATGTATATATTGTCACAATATATACATGAAAATAGACTATCAACACAAAAAACTGAAAATGAACTTAAAACTGAAAATTGAGACACAAACCTGACGGGCCCCTACATTTTTAATTCGGTCAATATCTAACATTAATTTCAACCACACATTCACTACTCCTACCCATTTATAGTTGACATATGAATGATGATCAATGAATTCCTCTCACATAACCAAAGTATTCAAGACAGGGTAAGACGATAAATGACTATTTGGGTGGAAGCTATTTAAATTTTTGCATGCCTTTCTTCATCCTCGGTATGTTTATTTATAGTTTCCTAATCAGGTTTTGAGGGTAAATGGGTCTTTTTAGTTGGTAACATATGGCAGCTATTGATTTGTTGTCTTCTAACTAATTATGTTGTTTGCTCACATTTTATTCAGAGCTTAATTCTTATATTTTGTTGAAGTACATTAGCTCGCATTATGCACTTAAGGCCGCATGTGAGGCGTTGCGCTTATGAGTGCTCAACAGCTTATTTTTGAGTTCACATACGTTTTGGCTGTTCAAAGTGCTTGATTAGATACACAAACTCATGAACATTTTATTGACAACAATTAGTCTTTAAATTCGAGTCTAATAATTTATGTTAGGTTTAACACTTAGTTCAAATTCTCTGTTGAGCGACTTAAAGGTCGACTCCTAATTTTTTTTTATATAGATTTCAACGTCCTTATGTAGTAGATGAACCCAAAATCTCACCCTACTTTCTTGTTTTAGTATGCTGATAATTTTGCGAAAGACTATGTTGGATAATCTAATCCATATACCTCTATTGTTTTGTCTATATGATCTACGAACATTTTATTTACTAGTCTTTGATAAGTGACGCTATAATTTTTTAATTTGAATAACAAACAGTACAGTCCTCGGTCAGTTATGGAGACAATTTGCTCAATAAAAAGTGTAATTTTGCATAAGAAATCGTGAAGAACTCGTTCATTTAGCCCTGAATTTTTTATTTATTTTTAATGAGATTTTGCTAGATTTGATGCTGACATGTACAATTAAAAAAATGATGGCCTACAAAACAACAATTTGAATTGGTGGAGTAGGGTAGACACACATTTCATACAATTTGTCGATTTTACCACCCTACAAGCCTATCCAAAGTACCGAAATACCCCTCCCAAGTAAATGCACCAAACCAACCCCTTTCCACTTTCATTAGAGGGCAAAATGGAAAAGAAACTAAGTGTCACAAGTTTGATTTTGAATGTTGTCCGAGAAAGCCTACACATTACATTAAGAATAATACTATAGCATCAGTTTATGTGAAATTATGTGATAAGTTCAATTAAAAATGAAATTATATGATTCGTTTAAATAAACCTGTAATTTAATTACACTAATGTTGTCATCTAGATTGGTATTAAGTACCAAATGTGTTAAATAAAATTACTCGTATAATAAAGAACAGAAAGGGACCTATGTTACAAATGCAAATAATTGATTTTTTGGAAGATCAGCAAGATCGGACAAACGCATAACTTCGACAATCTTATCAAAATGTTCCACTCGTTACTCCAATGACAAATTCATGTCTAATTTTGATATCAATTGATATGAATGCAAATTGTTTGTATTGAAATATAGAAATAAATTATTATTGTGGAGTCTTACCTCCAAGTTGAGTTTTTGAGGAACTTTAACCTCCCAAGAATAAAAACGTGAAAAAAATTCTTCAAATACATATACAACATAAAATTGAAAATCTGAATTCAAATACATACGAAACATAAAATTGAAAAATGAAATACAATTATAATTGTAACCATAAAACAATTGTGCCTTTTAAAATTCTTAGACAAGGTTTCATGAAGTGGAGCAACGTTTTTGATAGTTGGAATGTTAGACTGTATTAACATCTGAATGTTGTCACGTTAACTCTTCGTATGTGACAACATTCAAACGTTTGTGTATAACCTTTAATTAGTTTACACATGAAAAAACCTAAATAGAATGATCTCATATGTACATGTAATATGTTCGATTATTTAAATTATGACACATCAAATCCTGAACCGTTTATCATGATATCTCAGTATTCAAAGTCCACTTGGTTTCTTTAAATGTTCAAGTGTCAAGATTTAAACGGTTCGAGTTCTCAGATGTCATGATCTAAAAGATCTATCTTATATCGTGTGCATAAAAAATCATCCTACAATTTACAACTACTCAAATTAATTTTTGCACATTTACTCAGATTATAATAAAAAAAAGGATTTGAAAATACTAAAATTTTGTTCATCGCTACTAAGATGATACAAATCGTGCTTAAAAGTTAAAATAATAATTAAAAGTTAATCATTTATCATTTTAACTTTTAAGCTTGTCGGTAGGATTAGTTTCCTTATAAACAAAGAAGTCGTGATTAATGTGGCCAACAGTTATTGCAATTTCAGGTTTAACCAAACCCTATTTATATTAATAAATTCTTTTACAATAAACTATTACACAGTTTCCTCTTTTGAATGGATTTAGTTCCCTTATTAGAAAAGAAGTGCGGTGAATTAGTACTGTAAATAAATACTACTTGCTGTGTACACTTTTGGCACAGGATTTTGTATACGATGTCAAAGTATAATCCTTGTGAAACTGATCCTTTTACATTTTACACCGCGATGAAACGTCCATGTGACAAATTTTCCTGATGTTTTTGTTGATGTTGTTGTTATATTGCTATTCCATCGGTCAAGAAAACCTGTATCCCTAAACGGTCGAGAAAATAAACATATTCATATTAGGAGGACAGAGCAACATGGCTGGAAGAGGTGGGGTGGATGACAAAGAATGGGACGAATATGTGCCTATCGAATGCACACGAAATCGAAGAATTCTTCGACTAAATGAAAATTCAGAATTGGAAGAGGCTAAAGAACCACTCCATTCAGGAATTGATGTGAATAAAACTTGTGGGGTTGGTCCAGGAATGGCATTTGCTAATGCAATATTGGAAAAAGACCCTAATTTTGGGGTCATTGTTTTGGTCCCTTGTGCTATTGGAGGGACAAGTATTACAGCTTGGTCTGGTTCTAACAGCAGCCTCAGAAGTCAGATGATTAAAAGAACTAACGAAGCTCTCGAATATGGTGGAAAAATTCGTGCAATTTTGTGGTATCAAGGGGAGAAAGATACAGAAACCGAAGCTGCCTCCTATTTATTTCCCAGTGAATACCAGATGTTTCTTTATCGTTTACATCAAGAATTGAAGTACCACGAAATTCCATTTGTTTAGGTATTTACAATTCTTTTGCAATCAAGTTTCTGCCTATTTTAGGGGCTGTTTGACAAGGTTTGTCACGACCCATCCCAAGTCACCCTAATAGACTTGA